GGAGCTTGTAACACTCCAAAGAGAAAGGAAAAATTGAAATCGCATCATATGACCCCTTTAAGAAATACTTGAATTTGAATTCCATTTAATCGAATTGCTTTCTAGGAGACACAAGAGATGTCTTTTGTGATGTTTCTATCCTGAGGGTAGTTAAAGGGAACAGTAATAGCAACTGAAAACAAGTAAAATTCAAATGAAATTTCTGTGTATAGGTAAATATTTGAGTAATAAAAATCTCATTAGCACTATGAATGGAAGCACACAGAAGCCCAGCCCGGTTGGGTTTGTTTAGTGTTTCATAGAGGTGGAGGTGCTAATTCACTTCTTACTCAGGGTTTAAAAACAGTAGGGAGTTGTTTTCAGTCCTGGGTAAGTGTGACTTACCAGGACATTGTTTTTGCAGTGAACACCACAAGATATCGAGGTGAGAGCAGTTTAGTGACCTCAGCCTGGTGTAGATTGACAAGGATAATTGTACTCTGTATGTTGGCCATTTTTCCAATAGTTTGGTAGGACTGTGTTATAAAAAATGTTGTTTTAGAAAGCCAGAGCCCAGTACACAGTAGGGAACTGAGCTGCCAGAGAGCACAGGTCAGGTTTAATGAATTCTCCCAGGTCACACTGTGTGAGTGGGAGTGTGTGTTTCTGTGGACTGAAAAGTCCCACACATACTCATTCCTATCTCGAGCCTCTGTAATTACCATATTCACTATAATAAGCCCTTTCCTTACATCCCTAATAGCATCAAGAAATAGAGAGCTCTAGTCTGCAAAGACTTTGAGAGAGAAAGCCATAGTCTTTATATAATTTAGGGCACTCTGAGCTGTTTGTGGACAGCAATCGCTTGAGCGTTGACAGCGAAGCAGCTGGGGTCGGTGCAGCATGTGTGTGTGTGTGTGTGTGTGTGTGTTTGTGGGCGAGCTGCTTATATTGCCCTCCATGTAGTTGATCAGACACTTGGACAGGCTTCCGGGAGCTTTTCTGTGTAACCTAGATTACAGCCCCTTGCATTAATACTGAATAAAGAAAGCTTTAACCCTGTGGCACAGTATGGAGTTTTCAGCCCAGGGTGCGAGGCTCAAACATTACTTCCTCCACGGTCTCACGCTCTATAGGAACGACCCGTCCTAGCCTGTTCTGTTCAGTGAACTTACATATGACTGTTTGGGGAAAGCATGTGCTCGTGTGTGTCTGGTGGTGTGTTGCGTTTGTCCCAATTTCTTTTAAAACTCAGGGTGCTCATTCTTTGTTTTATGGGTCACCCATATAGAACAGGTCAATACAGTGTGTTGCACTGCCTCCCTGTTATTTGAGTCTATTAATATTCTTTAGTTCAGAGATGGTGTTTGTCGTTGCATGATGGGAGATTTGTTTATTCCTCTCCATCATTTTTCTGTGACAAATGATACAAGTAGTCTAAATGAGTATGTAAGAGGATTGCCTCTGTACTTGTTGATAAATTGTCAGACTGTCTCTCATAAACAAACCTGTAGAAAAACTTTGCTGCCCAAAGTAAGCTGGGTTATGTTGGTTTGTGCTGGTGAGAGGATAAGCATAGTAATACTGTTTAGCAGCAGAATTTTGCTAGTGGAGCTGGCTGAACATTCTGATCTTTCTGGTAAATTTGATTGACCAAAATGGTTGAGCTAGTCTGTTGGAATCACCAGCACATGTGTGAAAGTTGCAAGGTGGTACATTTTTTATTTATTCATTTTTTGTAATATGAAACTAGCTACCATGCTACAAAAAACAGCTTGCCCACCTAAGATTGAAGGCCGTTTATCATCTTGACCAATATAGTCTTCCAGGGCTAAACCAGGTCTTCCGACTGGCAGTTCAGCTAATTAACCACATCTATCTTGACTAGCTATCTAAACCAGTGTTTCACAACCTGTTCCTGGAGGCACACCAAAAGTACACATTTTCAAACTGTTCCTAATCAAACACACTAAGTTCAACTTATCAGCTCTTTAGAGACTTCAAGACCTGACATGGATTAGGGAGACATCCAAAATGTGTGCTATCGGTTCATCTTTAGGAACAGGGTTGGGAAGCACTGATCTAGCAATGGATAGATTCATACCTTATTTATCTTTACCTGAAGGGATTTCTATAACTATCGACAAATTTATAACAATTATCACTAATATGGTGTTCATGGATGTGTGTTTCTGTGTGCTGGTGTATCATTTACTAAATACAAAAAGCCTTTGAGTTTGGCTTCACTCATTTTTGGCGTATATGTGTGTGTATGTAGCAGCAGTAAGTATTGGCATAGCCCATGGCAGGAAAACCCCACTAGCTTATTTTTCCCCCTGAGATGTTCTCACCATCCGCACATGCTCACAGCTGTCCCCTGTGACGGCATAGTGCTGATGATGTCTGCTTTCTCTTTCCATAGACACCTCCTGCTCCCTTTCCCCATACCCCCAGCAGTAGATATATTCTCTCAGGTCCCCATGCCCTCTCAGTCTGGGAGTGAGAAACCGCGTCAGCCAACTAATTCACACCAATCCCAGGTGAACGACCTCCTTCAGAGTACAGAGATAGAGATTGGTGTGTGTATGAGTGTGTTTCTTGATCAAGTACTCCTAGCAGATAAAAGTTGAGCACTGCAGTTGTTTTCGTACATGACTGGCATCATAACATCCGTCATTATTCAACATTAAACACACAAAACACATTTTGACATTACAGCAGTGCTTTGTGGTGGAAAAAATACCAACTTTATATAGAGACCTTGTCTCAAATGGCACACTTAATGTGGACTTGTGGTATTGTGGTCCTCATGAGTTTCCTAGAAATAATAGGGTATCCCATTGGTCATTTAAAATGGTCTTCATTAATGCTCCCTTTGTGGTAGCTAGGTGCCCTCGATGCATATATTTGCAGAGCCTGCATGCACTTGTGTGGATTTCTCTTTCCATAGACACCTCCAGCTCCCTTTTCCCATACCCCCCAGCAGTAGATAGATTCTCTCAGGTCCCCATGCCCTCTCAGTCTGGGAGTGAGAAACTGCGTCAGCCAGCTAATTCACACCAATCCCAGGTGAACGACCTCCTTCAGATTACAGCGATAGAGATTGGTGTGTGTATGAGTGTGTATCTTGATCAAGTACTCCTAGCAGATAAAAGTTGAGCACTGCAGTTGTTTTCGTACATGACTGGCATCATAACATCCGTCATTATTCAACATTAAACACACAAAACACATTTTGACATTACAGCAGTGCTTTGTGGTGGAAAAAATACCAACTTTATATAGAGACCTTGTCTCAAATGGCACACTTAATGTGGACTTGTGGTATTGTGGTCCTCATGAGTTTCCTAGAAATAATAGGGTATCCCATTGGTCATTTAAAATGGTCTTCATTAATGCTCCCTTTGTGGTAGCTAGGTGCCCTCGATGCATATATTTGCAGAGCCTGCATGCACTTGTGTGGATTTCCCAGTGGACTATTACCCAACAGCCCATATGTGTATACTCAAAGGAGGACAGCGGGTACCATTTGGGACAGGGCCGTTGATGTAAGAAAACCCTGCTGGAAATTCAGTGCCATGCCAGCCAAGATGGTCAAGCTGCTTTGTTGCAGAAATAAAATGCTCTACCACAGGGGTGCAAAACTCAGTTCCTGGAGGGCCATAGCTCTGCAGAGTTTAGTTCCAACCCTGCTCCAACAGACATGTAGTTTTCAAATAAGCCTGAAGGACTTGATTAGCTGGATCACATGCATTTAATTAGGGTTGAAGCTAAACTCTGCAGGCCTGTGGCCCTCCAGGAACTGAGTTTTACACCCCTGGTCTACCATGTCTAACTTGCTTGTCCAAGATGATCTTCCAAGTTGAAACCAGATCCATCAGGGTGATGGTGCCTTTGCTAAAGCACTATTTCCCAACTCTGTTCCTGGGCTACCCCTTACACTGCACATTTTGTAGGTCTCTGTAGTCCAATACACCTGATTCAATTCATCATCTTGTTAGCAGAGACTCCAAGACCTAAAATGGGTGTGTTAGATAAGGGAGACTGTCGGAGATACTAGGACTAGGGTTGGGAAACACTGTGCTGAACATCTAGACCCGTTTTGACCAGCTAATGACCAACTTGGTCCAGCTTGAACAATTTGAAATCACTTAGCATCAAAACCTTGTTTCCCGGCTGGTTTGTGGAATAGAGTAACTGATTGCTGCAATTCCAAAGTGGTCTACCAGCTCTGATCAACTTGACCAAGATGCTTGAAACCAGGTACACCAGCTAGAAGTCCAGCTGACAAACCATCTAGGCCAGCTCAGACCAGTTAATTACCATGAATGATCAGTCAATCTAGAAACACTGTCAAATCAGCTAGCATCAGAAGCTGGTGATTTTCCAGCAGGGAAGTTGAAGTGGGGCAGGGTTTAAAAAATTATTCTCAGCAATATATGAGCACCAGAAGCCAGGATTTTGTCATCTCCTCTCACCAGCCTCTAGTCCAGTGTGCAGATACTTGACTAATGAACAGTCATTTATCTCATGTCCTCTCTCCCATTTCTCTCTCCCTCTTCCTCTTTCTTGCTGCCTCAATCTCTTTTATATTATCATCCCTCATGGCCTCCCATCAATTCCCCTTCTTTCTTTATCCTCCATCTCTCCATTTGTCTCCCCATCAAATTCTCCTCTTTTTAACCCTATCACACAATCATTCTGTGCATTCTTGCTGTCCCCTCCTTGTTATTTCATCTCTCCCTCTATTTCTCTTTCTCTCTCTTTCTCTTTTTTTCTCTCTCTCATATCTCCAGTCTTTGTATGTCCTGGGACTCTATTAAGGGTGCAGGCAGCAAGTTTGCTGCAAGAGGCGGAGCATCAGTCGGGGGCATGGTGTAAGGATCCCCTGCAGTCTGGTGACCGTCTTTACGTCATGCCCTGGACTCCGTACCGCACGGATATGCTGTACGAGTATGCTTCATGGGAAGACTTCAAACAGAATCGAGCCACGACCACTTACAAGTGAGTGAGGACCACAGCTTGGGTCTAGAACCAGTAACCATCACTGTGTACAATCTACAAAATAATGATTTTTTTCAAAACTTAGATTTAACAGCTTTTTTATATGATTATTAAGTTCTTAGGTAGGGTTCTTGAGTTTCTTCTTGATGTTAAATGAAAGATTTTTCAAATTAGCATACTGAGGTATCATCTAGGTATCATTCCTTGGCATGTATATAAGAGTGTAGAATCCTGATTTAGTTTCAGATCATAATCTGTCTAAAATGTAGCAGAAATTATTAAGAGTTACATTTATAGCAAGTCATCTCACGTATCACTATTCTCCCACAGGCTGCCAAATCGTGTGGATGGAACAGGCTTTGTTGTATATGATGGTGCTGTTTTTTACAACAAGGAACGCACACGCAACATTGTTAAATATGACTTGCGCACACGTATAAAGAGTGGAGAAGCCATAGTCAATAATGCCAACTATCATGACACTTCACCGTACCGCTGGGGTGGCAAGTCCGATATTGACCTTGCGGTGGATGAAAACGGTTTATGGGTCATCTACGCTACCGAGGCCAACAATGGACGACTGGTGGTCAGCCAGGTCAGTGTCACTGAATAGTGCAATTTAAAGCTATTGGATTTTAGATTGGATCGGAATTTCAGTTACATTTTAAGGAGCTCCATTTTCCAGAACTGTGGAGTAATCAAGTTTCTATTTTGTTGTATCATATGAACACAAACACAATCCGAACCCTTTTCTCTTGCTATCTTTTAGGTTAACCCCTACACCCTGCGCTTCGAGGGAACCTGGGAGACTAGCTTTGATAAGCGACTGGCGTCCAATGCTTTCATGGCATGTGGTGTTCTATACGCTGTCCGCTCTGTTTACCAAGACGACGACAGCGAAGCAGGTGGAGATCTGGTGCTGTATGCGTACAACACCAACAGAGCACGGGAAGATCCTGTCCACATCCCCTTCCCCAACCCCTACCAGTATGTGTCCTCTGTGGATTACAACCCACGAGACAATCAGCTTTATGTCTGGAATAACTACAATGTGCTGCGCTACCCCCTAGAGTTTGGCCCACCAGACCCCACTGCTGGTAAGTGACAGAGAAAGAGCGAGCTTAGCGGGAGGCGGAGGCTAACAGACAGTTTGATCTGTTAAGTGTCAACGTTCTGTTAGTGTTCCCCTCTGTTTCTTCAATACATTGTCTTTATGGTTTAATTAGCAGTGGTCATTAGTGTTTTGTCAGATCAGAAAAAGATTTCTAATAAATTATTCATTCTCATCTTCTTGCCATGAACATTCTCTGTCTGTCTTTCTCTCTCTTTTTTTCTCCTCCTGTATTTCGCTGTATCCAGTTCTCAGGGGGACTGTGGGAACGTATAGTCATGCATTAAAGACTAGCAAATGCTCCTGCTGCTTTAGTTATCTTCTTACCAACTTTCTCATATTCCTTTTGCAATACACATCAAACGTTTAGGTTTTCCTTTCTTCTATTTTGTCTTTTTTTTCTTCGTCAAACATCCGCCGACATTTTCGTTGACTCTGTAGGTGTTCTGAATCTGCTTCTCTCCCTCTTACACGCTTGTTGCCTTGGTTTCAATTTTTTTTTGCATTCCTGTCTGTCCTTCTCTCTTGCTCGCAGGTCCACTCGTCACCACTCAGATGAGCAGCAGCACCACCACCGCAGCAAGACCTGTCACTTCCAGCTCCATCCCCTCAACCATGCGACCTCTGCCCCCAACTGCTCACCCGATAGGGGCCATCAACAAGGCACCAGATCTGCGACCTATCACCGCCACTGTGCCGGTGACTCGCAGACCCCTGCGTGTCCCACCACAGGGCCCTGAGCTCCAAGTGTGTGAAGCCAGAGTAGCCCGAGGGGTGCAATGGCCTGCCACCCAGAGGGGGGAGACTGTAGACAGGCCTTGCCCTAAAGGATCACTGGGTGAGTGATGATGATGGGGTGACTGTTTAATAAAAGATTATTATTATAGACATTTTGAAATGATGATTTTGACTTGAGAAATCAAAATCGCAACTTGCAAGTTCAAGAACTCTGATTGCCGTAGCAGAGAAACAATTTATCGCTTGACACAAGGGATGGGTAGTACGACTAAAATCCTCATGGTATGAGTAATTTTACATCACGGTAACAGTATATATCACAATATACCTATTTTTGCTGGAAATTCAATAAAAAAAACAGATATCTACCGTGCGTACGGTGCGTGATGTTTATGACATAAAGGTCACACAATGTTTGTTGAGACAGCTTTTCATAGAATTGCATGTTGTGTTTGGTCTACCGGTGTTGTGTATATTACTGGGTTCATGTACGCATTTATGTGTACACGCCCATTTCATAGTGTGGAGACCTTGCTTCCTTTTCCTCCTCATCTCTATATTCTTTTCAGCTGGCAGGTCCTCTTGGGAGTCATAGTTAAAAGGCAGTCCTTTGCAAATGAAGGAGTGATCTTCAAACTCAGCATGGGTTAACCCTGCAAAAAATTAGCCACTAGACAGTTTACAGACGACAACATCCCGCCCCCCCCCATTTCTCCATCCAACCGCTGCATTAAATGCCTCTTTCTTGTCGTGGGAGAAAAGCGTTTCCTTCCTCTGTTAGCATCTCTCTCTCCCAGCCACCGACAAAACTGTCTTTCTTCTGTCACCTTTTTTCCTTCACTGAAATGACAGACAAGTTAAATTAGCAGCGGCTTTAATTGGTGAATCCTGGCAGATCCTTCAAAGCCAATCTATTGTGGATGAAGGAGTGGAGAGGAGAGAAAAGCAGACAGCAGCTGAGAGAGCGAGAGAGCGAGAGAGAGAGTATGAGGGAAGGAAATCTCCCAGTGGCTCTGATCTCACTGTAGCTGCTGTAGTCCTGCTTCACTCCTCTATAGCTTTTCCTTTCTCTCTGTTGCTTTTTCTACCTCTCTTCTTTGGAGCTATTTGTGTTGTGGTTGCCGAAAAGGCATGTCAGTTTTTTTTTTTTTTTGATCCCAGCATGCTGTCCTCTCTGTGAACTCGGCTAACTAAACAGCCCAACTTAACTGAAAATGAGGAGTGGCAGAAGGTGTCTCCCTCGAGGTGTTTTCTCAGCGTTCGGAGGCGCTGATGGGATGGCCATGCCTGGTGTGTTATCTTACACAAGTGTGTGTAAGAGTGTGCGATGTGTCAGCAAATTCATTTCCACAGAAAAAATTGTTTCGTGGAAGCTTTCACAGGGAAGCTCTGAGCAGCCCTGTTCTTTCTTTTTTTATTCTCTAGCACTGAGTTTCAGAATCAAAATTTAAAAAAATTGTTTTCCATTTTCTTTTAACTTTTTGTTTTGACATTTTATTTTGTTGTATTTTGTTTTATTTTAATGAATAATTAATTAACTGATTCTGACTTTTTTATACTCTCAGTCAAAAGTTTTGTCAACTCTCTCTTTATTTTTTTTTTTATGAAAATATTAAAACTCGGGTAAAAAACATGAAAACTATGAAATACAGAAATGGAGGCATGTAAATTATGTAGTGCCCCCAGAAAAAGGAGAAATTAATTTGTGCTTCTTCAGTGTCGCTTCACTTCGCCTTGATTACAGCATTAGTTATTCTCAACCACCTTCATGAGGTGCATCCTGGGATGGTTCTTAAAGAGTATTAAAGTTTACAGATAGTCTGGACATTTGTTCTCTGTTTTTCCTTAACTTGCCACTGTAACTTATCAATTTTTTCCACAATAAATAAATAAATAAATAGATTTGAAATATATATATATGTAGACCCATTTAAATTGTCACCGTATCATTCCATTTGGACTTTGTTTTCCTTTTGCACCACTTCCGTTCATTGACTTAATTGTGTCATTCTGTTCAGGTGAGTGTCAGTAATTAGCCTTGTCTGCTGGTGTATTTAAGCTGGTCTCTTTCTGTTTGTTGTTGTCGGGTCTCGTCGATGTTACGTGTTGCAAACCTTCCCTCTGTTTGGATTTACCTTCTTTATTAAAGACTGCCTATCTTCATCATCATGTTCATGTGTGTATATCAACGCAGTAGTGTGACATAAATTAAAAAAAATTGTTTGAAAAGATTTATATGTAGACCCAATGATAATTATCAGCATAAGCTTGTGGTTTTTATGCTGACTGGTAGTGTGTGTGTGTGTGTGTGTGTGTGTGTGTGTGTGTGTATATAATATAGAAGATTTTAAAACCCAAGCTCTCTCTCTCTCTCTCTCTCTCTCTCTCTCTCTCTCTCCCTCCTAACATCTCGTCTTCTGTTTTCAGGCATTGCGTCCTTTCAGTGTCTGTCCTCTCCTGTGCTATGGAATCCTCGCGGCCCTGATCTAAGTAACTGCACCTCGCCGTGGGTCAACCAGGTGGCCCAGAAGGTGAGGCCACTAAAACGTTGCTTTTTACTTGCTCTGACCCCCCGTTCCCTGTCCTGCTCTGTTTGCTATCTCAGCTATTATCATTCCGGCCTCAGCTCACATTACCGCACGCAGGTCATTCTTTTGACATGATTTGGAACAAAATCTCTCTATTCTTATCTATTTCTAAGAGAGTGTTTAAAAGCATCTTAGACTGGACAGTTTGTTCTGATTTTCACATATTACAAAACGTTTTAATTTTACAAAACAGTTTTTAGGCATCATATCTATTTTTTTTTTTTTTTGCATTTTTCCCCCCTCGGCGGATTTTTGCACCACAAAAGCAGTTAAAAATTATTTTCTTTTTTTTTTTAAGTCACCCTCTCTTTGATCCTTCAGAATAAGTGGACTTCTGTGACTTTAAGACCTTTATAAACTTTGTCTTTGCTTATGAAAGTAGCTCCAATTTTTATTTTTATTTTTTTACAGATGCCTATAGTTTGCAATTCCTTTATTCCAATAACAGACTCAATAACATTGAGACAGATTCACAACACAGTCCAGCTTAGACTGTTAAGATCAGACTGGAATGATCAGAGACTTGTTAAAAAAAACTTCAGCCACTCAAACCTAACATCATTGGAAAGAATATGCAGGATATGAAGAGCAGGGTTATTATCCTTAACTATAACTCATTAAAAAAAAAAAAATTTGCTAATTGAAATAAAACCGAAATCAAATAAAATGTATATATTAGATGAAAAACTTGAACTAAATGACAATTAGAAATGTTGCCTTGGCAACTAACAGAAATAATTTATAAGTTTAAGTTAAAATTACTAACTGAAAATGAAAACTAAAACTGAAAAAAAAATTTTTAAATAATAATATCGCCGCTTTGGAATTATAAGGTTCTATCTGCATTCTGAGTGATTTTGAGATATTGAGCTAATATTCAATATAGCAAAAGTGATCATACATGAAAATGACAGAGACCCTAAATGTATTTTAAATGTACAATATCAAAATCCTCTCAAATTTGTAAATGCGGATTTTTGGAACAGGTCAAATGCAGATAGAACCTTCTAATTCTAAAAAGTAATTTTCCGCTTGGAATTATACGGTTCTATCTTGCAAAACATTAATTGAAGCACCAATTTTTAAGAAATACAAACAGTTTACTTTTAATTAGTTTTAAAACATAAAATTAGTGTTGTAACAATGTGTCGATATGTATGAGAAAGGTAAATTGAATGCTTTTTATGAAATGTATTTGATATTTTAGGACAAATATATATATATTTTTTTCAAATAAAGCATAAAAGGCAGTGCCAAATCTTTTGTCCAGTGCAGATGTTAATTTTATGCAGGAATATGGTGGGTAATGAAACACATCATTGCAGGAACAGTTTAAGCAGCTACTGTAATACATGTGACCAGGACTTTGGGATCTGTCTCTCTAGAGATCAGTTTGGCCGAGATAACATGTTAACATTTATTGTTGTAATTAAGACCTCATCAATTAAATTGTTGACTATTTGACCTTTAAGGCGTAATAATGTAAAATTTAAGACATTTTAAGACTTTAAACTTCAAGAAAACACAATGCTTTAGCAAAGTTGTTTAACCCTTAAATGCATGAATGTTGCACCAATCATTACATCTCGGGTCTAAGTTATATCGACCCGGAACACGGGTGGATCTCTAACTACTGCAATAGCGTAAAACTCTTCTGATATTTTAATAACAATTATAAAGGAATAAAATAAAGCATATTCCATTACCTTTTTAAACTTGGAAGGGTTCAATTTGAGCAGATAATTTTACCATCACTGTCAACGTCAGATCGCACTTATTCAGCATCTGGGTCATATTCACGATCTCAACCATATTCTCAAAACTATCGTTTTCAACGTCTTCAAAAACAACATTTTGATCGCTATTCGCCACATCCACCATCAAATGACTGTGACACTTATATTTCATTGCATACAGCAATTGCTCTGCAGCAAAGCCATTCGAGTCAGTTCAATTTTTGCCGATGATATTTTGTTTTATGCCTGTGGTAATTATGAGTGAAACATCACGTCGTCATTTTCTATGAAACAGCGACACTCTGAGGAATAAAGGTGAATTGCTTTTATTGAGTCATCAGATATTTAATTATTGTTGCGCAGAAAAACTATACTTACAGTATTACATAGGCCTACCTGCGGTAGCTCGCGACCCTATTCACTTTTTACAAAAATTAAAAAAAAAATCAGAAAACAGACATTTTTTTATAATTTTTATTATCTCTTCTTTAAGACATTTTAAATATTTAACATTTAATCTTTCGTGCTGTCGCGGAGCAGTCCAGCGACATGACAAAGAAAGTTGATCCTGATTGGTCCTCTTGTGTGCATTCGAAGTGCTGATTGGCGCACAGTTAGAACCTTTTAGAACCAAGTTAGAGTTCGACTTTGTAGATAGAACCTTTTTGTTTTCTAAATAAAAAGTCCCAAAATGTACAGAACTTTAAAAAGCCACTCACATAATGTAAATAAGTTGTCACAGAATAAGAATATGTGAATAATTCAATTTTGACAAAAATGTCAGATAGAACCTTATAATTCCAAGGCGACGATATTTGAAAAGCAAAAAACAAACTAAAATTAAATATATAATAAAAATATAACAATAAAAGCTAATAAAAAATATTATAAAAAATATAGTAGTATATAAATAATACTAAAATAGAACTGAAGCTAAGAAAATGTTTCCTAAATGGTCCGAGGATTATGATAGGCTGTCCTACCTGCCTGTCAACGTATGTATTTGCATACCTCTGCACACCCTGTTCGCGCAGACATGATACATCATCAGCATGTTCCATTACGTTAGTACAGACCAAGTGAGAATGAAAGGCATCATTGTTGTAATATTATGCACCTTGTACTGTAATGTTTTCTCACTGGTGAATGAGACATGAGGTAATCTGACAGCGTTGTATTCAACCATCTCTTATCGTGTCGCTGGTTAGCCTCTGGGCTGCCTGTGCGTGGTCATGTGTTTTGGAGGAGGTGTGGCTTTGGAGAGTGATTTGCAGGGAGTGTGGGATCTTATGCTATCAAAGCTAGCTTGCTATTGTTAGCCTCTCCGAAATCACCTACCCTACCTGTAAGTTGTGATGATTGACATGGAGAGATCAACACAACAACGACTTCTCAAACGACAAACATGGTTGGAAACAGTTTAACCCCATTGTTGGGGCTATTGTTGACCAAAGTAATGCTAGCAATTACATATGTATTATCATCCTGCAGTTTTTAGGAAACTGCCACGTTTTCTTTATTAGTTCTATACACATTATGCAGATTTGATAAAAATGTGGTTGTCACTATTGTAAATTACTGAACTCTGTCTTTACAGAACATAATTAAGAACTCAAAAGAGAAATGTCAACTGTAAAAGGCCTAAGTAAATAAATGGCATTATTCAAAGGTTAAAAATTCAAGAGTCACATTAAATTAAAATGTTCAGTTACAGAGTACCATGGTATTATGTTTGTGTTGTTGTTTTTGGCAAACTATTATAATAGCTTGTTTTTTGAACACCACAAAGAGTAGTTATACCATAGCATACTTTGATGTACCTTTGAGTACCTTAAACACAATGGAGTGTTTTTTTTCTTCTTTTTCTTTTTCTAAACATTAAGTGACACATTTGCTTTAGGGCAATTACAGGCTATGTGTCTGCTTTCAAATCAAGTGAGTAATTTTATCATGTTTCACGCTTTCGTTTTTTCCTTTTTGTTTTTTGTAATAGCTTGATTTAGAGAGTCATTAACGATTTGCTGTCTTTTGTCTGTGTGTCTAGCAGCATAAACCCAGAAACCCCCAGCTCACACCCCCACAGCGCACGGCAGGGGATTGAGCTTTATAGACCAGACTGTGTATGTGTGTGTGTGTGTGTATTCACTGTGTAGATAAAAAGTGGAGAGAATGCTGCAAACATCGCCGCTGAGCTGGTGAACCACACGCAGGGCCACATTCACGCCGGTGATGTCAGTTCCTCTGTCAGACTCATCGAGCAGCTATTGGATATATTAGACGCACAGCTGCAAGCACTCAGACCCGGGAATAAGGAATCGGCAGCCAGGAACTACAATAAGGTGACACACGCACGCACGCACAAACACACACTCACACTCACACACATTTGCCCTTTAAACAAACCCTTCATGTTTTGTTTGCTGCCACATCAGTGTGCACAGGAATACCCTCTAAACTCACAGCCTTGACATGAATCACATGAATGCAGGGTCTGCATATACCTGTTGTTCTGAGCGGTTACAATTTTTTTCCCCCCTTTTAATATGTTAGTAGCTCATTTTTTTTGAGATGTTACAAATGGAAATAAAATAATGATAATAATAATAAATTGAAAACATTTAGTAAATTAATAATTAAAAAGTTAGTATAAAAATAGTCATCGTGAATTTTTGATGAATGAAAAAGAGCTGGATGATTTCTGCGAGAATATTTAATGCCATTTTTTTAAGCATACAAATTAATTATAGTAGATGCATATTAGTAGTAGTAGTAGTAGTAGTTGGTGTAGTAGTAGTAGTAGTAGAAGAAGTAGTATTTTTTTGTAAGTTGCATTCGAAATTGACTTAAAATCGATTGAATCTGCAAGACTCAACTGCATGAATGTGTGTGTATCTGAAAGCTGTTTCATTGTGTCTTGCAGTGGCAGAAGAGAGAGAGGACCTGCCGGGCTTATGTTCAGGTATTGTGCAGTGTTATCTTTATGAGTTCACAGACACACTTCACCTCTTGTATCTCTTCTTATCCTCTGTGTCACTGCATACACATACCGATGCTTGATTCCTATCCCACACTCAACTGTGAGCATTTTTTTACTTTCTGGGAAGCCTGTATATAAAATGCATTATAAAGATATTAAATTAATCTCAGAATTTCCTTATAATACATTTGAGCCGTTCAGTGCTAGCCCTGAAGGGCCACTAGACTAAAATACTGCAAAGAAACAAATCAAATATGTAGAGTAGTATTGGGTAATACTTCTGTTTTGCACATCAACATCAACAAACCATGATTTGCTACTTTCTAGTTGGTTGTAAGTGGTATTGTTTCTCACTCTTGATAAAAAAAATTGATTAGGCAAAATATGTGGTGCGACACTAGTCATCTATATTTTTGGCCTTTAAGAGACTGTACATTTTAAATTCACATACACTACCGTTCAAAAGTTTGGGGTCAGTAAGTTTTTAAAGAAATTAATACTTTAATTTAGCAAGGATGATTTAAATTGATCAAACTTGTCAGTAAAGAAAATGTAACTAAAGATTTGAATTTCAAATAAATGCTGTTCTTTTCAACTTTATATTTATCAAAGAATACTGAAAAAAGTCAGTTATAATTAATAATAATAAATGGTATTTGAGTGCTAAACCAGCATTTTACAATAATTTATAAAGGATCATGTGATGCTGAAGAGTGGCGTAATAAACTTTGCCATTGCAGGAATAAATTACATTTTAAATATATATATTAAAATTAAACTCTCGTTTTGATTTTATGATGTCTTTTAACATAGTACCATGGAGTATTATAATATATTATATTGGTGGTTACTTTTAATGAAAACATATAACGCAGAATGGCATTAAGACTGCATCCATAATGCATAACATATACAGGCGTCATAGAAAGTGCCATCCATATTTTTTATTGCATATGCCTACCTCAGATGAATTTTAACTGCAGCTGGTTTGTTGTGTGTGTTTTTGTGTGTGTGTGTGTGTGTGTGTGTGGGTGTGTGTGAGAGAGAGAGAGACAGAGAAAACGGGAGAGCGACTTCTAGCAATGATGATACTGTACATCTTGCCCAAGGCTTTCTTTTAGCGCTCTTGTCATTTATAATGGCCTATAAGATGTTGCTCCTTAGTAGAAATCAAATCCAGCCGTTACGTAAGATTCACAGATGTGACATTCACAGAGAGTCATATTTTATCATTTTTGATGTAGAGTGTAATTATAATGAAGTGTAAGTGTATGTTTGTTGTCGGGTATGTGTGTGCAGGCGGTTGTGCAGACTGTGGATAATCTTTTGCGTGCCGAGGCTTTAGAGTCATGGCAGGACATGAACAGTACGGAGCAGGCGCACACCGCCACCATGCTACTGGACGTCATGGAGAAAGGAGCCTTCCTGTTGGCCAATAACATGTACAATAATCACTTCTCAGACCACGCTGCCAATGTCGGTGAGTTTGTGTTGAGGAGAAACTAAAAGTATTGAGGGATATTTTGATAACATGACAGTACACTCTTAAAGGGGACATCGGATGGCCATTTTCCACAAGTTGGTATGATTCTTTAGGCTCTTCATGAAATGTCATGAAAAACATACTTTGGTTAAAATTCCTTAGTGCTTGTGTAAAACAACACCCTCTGTACCTGGTCAAAAACCGCTTTGTTCTCAGCGAGTAGGGCTGCACGATATTGGAAAAAACTGACATTGTGATTTTTTTTTTTTCTGCGATATGAAAAAAACTCAGAAGACTTCAATTGCTCTATTTGGAAAAAAATAATCAATGATTGGGGTGATTTTGTAGGCGAGTAAATCAGCATAGGAAATAAACAAATTACAAGCATAGATAAATAACAGAACAAAGATACAAATGAAATAAGCAGTGCTTTATATTTTTCAGGTAAGTCTAACAGTATTCAGGCACAAAAATTGAATAATCAAATGTAAAATAACACTGCATAGTTTTCACTATAAATTAAATCTAATAAATCTGTGTTAAAGCTACAAAAGTGATTTTTCTTTGTGTTTTGTTGTTTAATTAACGTTCATGACAGAGAAAGCAACAGGAACATTAAACTGCTGTGAACCAATATACTGTTACACATCCATTTTCTTTCTCAATTGTTTACCTTCACCTAAGCCATAAGCAACTGTGTTTACAAGGATACTTGCAGAGCACCATATTTCAGGCACAAATAGATGCAGAAGTGAACAGAAATTAGTGTTCACGTGCATCTGCTTGGCTCTCACTGTGTCTACACCGGACGCGAGTGGCACGACAAAATACTATGAACCCATTTTAATCAGTGATGCTGTGTGACTGACTACACTGGATGCGGCGTGACATGACAAATCACAGACAGTAAACAGATGCCTCGTTTATGACATACTGACACAAAGTTCAAATGATATGCAACGGTCACTTTTTCGCGTCCGTTGTAGACAGACTTTGGGGCCATTCACATGTCGCGGGTGGAAAACGCAGCCGCACCGTTTTCTCCTTCTTTCCAAAGCACTCGGGAGCTTGCACTTTCCTGGAGTCTGCCATTGCTAAGCGACCGTGACCCGCTCTCTCGCGATGACGCGGAAGTTTCAGCAAAGGATAAATGGATTTCCAGCACTGAAAATCGCCTGCTGTAGTTCTGCTACTAAATGTATTTAGAAATGGGTATCTATGTACAGCTGTCGCGTCCGGTGTAGACACCATGTCTGTGTGTGAGCAAAGAAAACAATCAGTATAAATATAACGACCAGTAGCCTATACTAAACATCGCACATCCTGCGATGTGACTATCGCGGATGCACACATTGCGATATCGATGGTAAAAAGATATATCGTTCAGCCCTAAAAACGAGCCATTTCGGTGCATGTCTCTTTAAATGATAATAAGCTACTGCTAACCCCGCCCCTCTCTTCCATGGGGCGTGTCGACACGAGGCATGTGAATTGCTGCCTTGGACTCTGTAAATGGCTCGGAGGTGGTCTTATTCAAATAGCCAGCTATCTATGTAGAAACCGGCTGCAAATTGAAAGAGCTTGCTGGATGACAGAGTTTCAGACTCAGACAGCCCATAACAAACTGTCTGCATGATTTCTTTTCAGCTTTTTTGAGCTGGCAGTCATTCCAAAAACTAAATGCAAAAAAAAAAAAAAATGATCCAATGCCCCCTTTAAAAATAAAAGTTCCAAAGGTGGTTTTCACAGCAATGTCATATTAAAAAATGCTGCTCTGATTTAAAAAATATATATATACACTCCTGTTGAAAAGCTTGGGGTCAGTAAGATCTTTTTCATATTTTTTGAAAGTATCTTATGCTCAATAAGGCTGCATTTATTTGATTAAAAACCGTAAAATTGTGAAATACTATTACTATTTAAAATAGTTATTTTCTATTTTACTATATTTTAAAATGTATTTATTTATTTTTGATGGCCAGTCTGAATTTTCAGAATCAATCAATGAAATCAGTGATTTGCTGCTCAAGTAACATTTCTTATTATTATCAATGTTGAAAAACAGTTGTGCTGCTTCGTATGGACAAGGACAGGAATTATTTGAAATGGAAATCTTTTGTAAGATTATAAATATCTGTACTGTCACTTTTGATTAATTTAATGTGTCCTTGTGAATAAAATTATTCATTTCTTTTTTTTTAAAGTCTTAACAGTAGTGCATAATTTATAATATAAAAATGTATTATTTATAATTTTTTTATTATTTATTTATTGCTGTGTTATTACAGTTCAAGCTTTCAAAGTGTGTGTTTTTGTGTGCCTTCAGATCTAGAGGTGCGTGTGTTGAACACAGAGACAGATTCTCAGGATTTGTCGTTCCCTCAGAGCGGTCCCAGTGACAGCAACATCCAGCTCTCGGCTTCCACCTTCAAACAATACAGCCGCAATGGTCAGTCACAGCTTGCTCTCTCTCTTCCTGTCCCTTCCATCACGATCCACGACTTGGCCCTATGCAGTTTCACTGAAGCTTAGCGAAATGTCCACTTCGGTTTACCCGGTTATTGGTTGATAATAATAAACCTAATCAGATTAACAAAAGCGCTGAGACCATTTCTTCCCTGATGGTTTCTTAACGGCACTCTTAATCAAACAGCCCGAGAGGCGACTAGATTACTATCATTTTCAGGCTGACAGAGCAATCTCGGCACTCTTTTCTTTTCTCCTGCTTCTCTCCTTCCTGTCCCCTCCATCTCTTAGCCATCTTATCCCGCCATCAGCTCTCCTACTCTTCGCTTTTTCCGCCACTCCCTCATTTAGCCTCTTTTTGAAGCTGCGTCGTCGTTCGCTGCTTCTCATCGGAAGGCAGGTTGGGTGGGGGAAGTGAGATTAGTATGATTGAAACAAACGCACATGAAATATTCATATGGAAGAAATGGAGTGAGTGAGTGCTGAAGGGATGAGTGTTCCGTTGCCCTCCATATTAAAATTCCTTCATCCCCCGATCACTCACTCACCCCCTCCCAGCCCAAATCATTTTAACCTTCACTCAACTCACTCTACCGCTCCCTTTTTCCTCTTAGTTGTTATTCATATCCTTCTTCCACTCAATAACTCTCTCCCTCTTTCTTGTGCTGTGTTTCTCTGTACAGGCCGGGTAAAAGTGGTCTTCGTGCTCTATAAGAATCTGGGTTCGTTCCTGTCCACTGAAAACGCAACCGTGAAGATGGAAATGGAGGCGGGGCCCGGTGGGCGGGGCCTGGCAGTGAATTCACACGTCATCGCAGCGTCGATCAATAAAGAGTCCAGTCGAGTGTTTCTGACTGAGCCTGTGGTGTTCACACTTAGACATTTACAGGTACATAAACTCACACAGGCACACACAAGCAAGAAATTACATTATAATTTCATTACATTGCATTTAGAAAACATTACTCTTACACGTGGGGTTACATTCATGAAACAAGAACAAATTTCTGTGTAAATCATGTATAAAAATTATCATTTTTTTGCATTAAGATTATTTCATTATCCCCCACTTCCCCTAAAATCACCTGTCCTCAGACCTCAGTACTTCATGTACACGGTAGTCTTTTGCATTTAACGGTAGTTAAATATAGTAAAAACAGTGTCTTACAATTCAAATATATGCTGTTCTTTTGAACTTTCTATTCATCTGAGAATTGAAACAGCTGTTTTCAACATTGCTGTTAATATGAAATGTTTCTTGAGCAGCAAATATTAGAATGATTTCTGAAGGATCATGTGACACTGAAGACCGGAATAATGATGCTGAAAATTCAACTTTGCGTCACATGAATAAATTTCATTTAAAAGTATATTAAAAAAGAAAACATTTATTTTAAATTGTGATAATGTTACACAATGTTACTTTATTTTTTACTGTATTTCGTGTGCATTAAAGTATAAATTAAGCATAAAAATACTATTTATCTTATATATATATATATATATATATATTTACTTCAAAATTTCATGTTTAATTCAGTGATTATTTGCCATTTCTTTGAGATACTTTGTGAAATTTACTAGCATTTTCTGAGTGAAATCTGTTTCAAAGTAAATCCTATATCATTTTTGTCCCCGGTGTATCATGATCTCTGAGGTGACGATCTACACACCTGCAGAAGCAACGATTCAAGTCTGATTTTGCATGCATTTAAATGAAACTAAACGACCCATGCATCCCTTTCATTGAGCAATTTTTTGCTGAAAAATGGGAGCAAATTCTGCTGAAAAAGTATGCCCCCATTTACCTCAAACTGACTCTTTATATACTTTGTGTGTGTGTTAATATAATATATGTTATGACATATATGTAGTGATGGAAGCAGTCTATTGAATCTATGTTTTGATCATTGTTCTGAATCTGATCCTACGGAGCCCATAAAGGGACATGGTGGTAGAAAAAAATTTGGGGTGGGAGGAAATTCTTTTTTGCGTTCCCTCGCAAAAGATATTTGCGTTCTCTCGCAAAACCAGTTGAGTTCGGACAAACACTTCCTGTTTACTTTACAGC